CCCACCCCGGCTCCGAGCGCGCACCTCGAGAAAATGCTGCCCACGGTTTCCAGCCGGCTCCCCGCCATGCTCGGGCCTCTGACCCGGAGCGGTTGGTGGCTACCGGAACCGGAAGCGCCGGCGGCAGGCAAAGGAGGCTCAGTTGCCAGCCGAGCGGAGGATCGCGGGCTTTCCCCGCAGCCGGGCGGGGAGGGGCGGGGCCAGGCAGAAGCAAAGGATCGGCCGAACCCGCGCGCTCCGCCGCTGCTCTCCCGACTCAGGCAGGAGCACGCAATAGCCGAGCCGAGAGCTAGGCAGCGAGCCCCAGCCGGGCAGCAGCAACAAATGACCCGTCTAGGGGAGGGATTCAGCCGGGGGGTTGCTTTGCCATTTCTGGCTTCAAAAAGGGGGCTCCTCTTCGGTGGGGCCGCGCGGTGGGAAGGTGACAGGAGGGCGTTGGGAGGTGCAGCCCACGTCCTGGGGGGCCAACCAGGGGGTCCCCAACGCTAATCCCCAACTGTGCCTGTGTTGGTTGGAGTCACAGATTACACAGAAGGAAACCGAGGCCCGGGGAGGGGCAGTCACTTGCTCGGGGTCACCTTGGAGCCCAGGCCTCGGGCCCCTGCTCTTTGGGGCTCCCCGTTAAACCCTGGGCCCTGGAGCGCCACCCGCATCCGCTCTATTAGGGACCCTGCCGGCAGCTAGTGTTTCCTCCCCAGCTCCTCCGTGGAGCTTGAAAAAGTAAGAGTGTCTGGAACAAACAAATTCTGAGAAGGAAACTCAAAAATCTGGGGAAAGTAACCTCTCAGGGTTACCATTTGGCCCAATAATTATACTCCGGGTAAAGTACTCCCCTCCCCCCCAGCAATTAAAGCACAATTTCATGGGGATATTTGTGCAGGGATCATCGTTGCAGCATTGTTTGTGGTGGTTTAAAAAAAAAAAAAAAATTCTGGCTACTGGAAAATGGCTATTAAATTGTGGTTCATATATTCTATGGAATCCTATGCAGCTATGAACCGACTTAGTTCCACATGTATTTAGCCAGATGAATGCCCGTGTCTTATAGTTAAATGAAAAAGGAAGTTTTTTAGGGGGATGCCTTTAGGGGGAGCCTAACCTATTAAAAGAAAAAAGAAAACACTTTATATGTGTTTGTGTTCACATGAGGACAGAAACTTTGTGGAAGGTCACACAAGGCGGTGAACATTGCTTCTCTCCAGTAAAACTGCAGGAGGGGAAGGGAGAATTTTTTTATTTATCCTTTAGAGTTTGACCTGTAAAGAGTTTGTGTTTGTATTTGAACTTTTTAATCCAGTGAAATGTTTTGAATCACATTCTCACAAAATGTCTCCCGGGAGCCCATTCATTCTCTTTGTCAGCAAGAAAGGGCATCGAGTTATCCCAGAGTCCTCCTGCTGCCTGGGAGGCTGGCGAGGAGGAGAGGAATGTGTGACGAGCAGTTACTGCTTGTTTGTGTTATCTCACTGAATCCACACACCTACCCACAAGGTGGCTATTATTATCTTATTTATAGATTAGAAAGTGAGGCCTTAGGGAGTTAGGTAACTTGTCTGATAGGTAACCGACACAGCCAGGCTTCCAGCCCAGCCTGGGCCCTTTCCAGAACTCCACACTGCCTCCTCAGCTATGACTCAAGCTGGAGACTGGTTAACGGAGGAGGTCAGGCAAAACTGGCCCCAGGGGCAGGGGACAGGGTGATTTGAGGCCCAGGGCTAAACCGAGAGGTGGGTGTCACTGCTGCCTCAGGGCCCTTTGGAACAGAGGAGAGAGAACACAGCTCTGGCCATTGGGCTAAGTGTGGAGGTTCTGGTCTTCCAGTCCTAGGAAGGTCTAAGAAGACTTTGCTGGAGAGAGAGTGAACACACTCACAGCTAAATATAGTCTTCCCAGGCCTCCTAACAAGTTTCTAATTCTGTCCAAGTCAGAGCCAGTTGTCAGCCCAGACCACAGACACACTTCCCTTCTCCTACTCAGTCCTGCCCCCAGAGGCCATTGCAGTTCTGGCTGCTAAAGAATTAGAAGGGTTTATTCCAAGTTCAGGGAGGGAACTCAAAGACCCAAACCCTCAATAGGGAAGGAATTTCAAGGCAAGAATTTTCTCTCTAGATGTTCTTGGAGAAATCTCTTCCTCTTCTAAGCCTTGAAAGTTTCCCCTCCAGCATATCTAATCTCTCTGTGACCAAGACAGAAGAATGTTGGTGGGTAGAGCAGGAGGACCATAAGATGTGGGGCAAGATGATTGGGAACCCTCTGAGCCTACACCAGGAAGTGTGCACCCCAGGGCATGTTCATTCATAATACAGGAGGAAGCTGTGGGGCAGCCGGGGGCAGGCATTAGAGCCTTGCTTTCTTCTCACCACAGCCTCTCAAGGCTGCAAGGGGCTGACACACTCATGCCATGCCCTGCACCCAGAACCTGGACTATCTCATTCAATTGTTCAACCACCTGATGCCATAGATAATGTCCTGACAACCTTACAGAGGAGGAGAGCTTATAAATTCTCCATAAGGTCATACTTCTTTCACTCTGCCGCTCGGCCCCATTTTAGTCCCTCTGCTTCAGACTAATTGTGTCACCTTGGGCAAGTTCCATAAATTTTCAAGCCTGTTTCCCTATATGTTAAAATGTGGATGGTGGTATCAACTATCTGCGTGGCTTGTGCAAGAGTAAAAGTGATCGTTCTTATAAAGCACACAGAGTGAGTCTTCATGATTAACGGGTCTGATGGCTGTTATAGTATCACTACTGCTGTTGTGTCCTGTAAACCATGGATTGCCACCTAAGACTGAAGCATTTTGATGATATTTCATTGACTGCCTTGTTGTTTTACTTTCTTGTTAAATGATCCATTCATCCCACAAACATTTAAGCATCTACCTGACCCTGTGCTGAGTCCTGGAGAAGCTCACTGTCCAGTGGGTGAGACACAGAGCATTTCATCATTGATAACTTACATGCTGAATCGCTTGTTGACTGCATAGTTTGCTGGGGCTGCAATGCCAAGATACTACAGACTGGGTGGCTTAAACAACAGAAATTTATTTTCTCACAATCCTGGAGGCTAGAAGCCAAGGTCAAGGTGTGGGCAGGTCAGTTTCTTCTGTCCACACCTTTGTAAATAGCACCCCTGGAGTTTGTCAGACAAAAAGAGGAAGAACATCCCCAACAGCAGAACAGCTCTGGTAAGTGGAAATCCCAGCATATCGGTGAAATCATTAATATTGCTACTCACCTTTGGCAGAAAGCCAGGATCAGGGGAACTCAGCTGTTGCTTTAAAAAAGGAGGAAAGCAATGGTATACATTCCATGCACGGTACAAGGAGCCAGAGGACAAGGGCAAGGAGGGAGGTGTTCAGGGAGGAGGTGCTGTCTCACCTGCAGGCTGTTTCCTGTAGATACTCAGCCAGACTGAGTAACTGTGTCCCCAGGACCTGCTCCCTCCCTCCCTCAGCTTATCTCTCTCACAATTTGGTGTTGTAACTCTGTTTACTTGCCTGAGTCTATCTAACTGGGCCTCTCTGAAGGCAGGGATCGGGGCTCTTATCTCTGCCTCTCACACCCAGCCTGGTGCTTGGCCCAGAGCTGGCTCTTCAAAATTGTTTTCTAGTGAACAGCACAGATGAATGAAGCCAAGTTAGGACAAAGGAGGATGCAGCGGTCTCAGCTCCCCCTTGCTGCCTGCTCACATCCAGCCCTCCTTCCTGGAGGCTCCCCCAGATACACACATAGGGAGAAAGCAGTGGTTGATTGGAAAGAACCCTCCACCCCACCGTGCACCTGGTCATTTCCAGTTCTGGCCGTCCTCTGTGCCTCAGTGATGGATATCTCTCTTTTACAAACCTCTGGGCCTCAGCTTTGTCATCTGTAAAATGGGCATAATCATAGCACCCACCATATAGCCTTGTTGTGAGGGGTCAGTGGGTTAATACCTGCAGAGTGCTTAGAACAGTGTCTGCTGCATGGTAACTGCTCAATAAATAAGTGTTAATAACGATTTCTGACCATTCCATGCTTAAGAGCAATAAATCATAATTTATTGAATTACACCTACAATTAAATCACACCTAGCAATTTGCAGGCATTTTCACATGGCTGCTCATTCATGTCTTCTGCAAACAGCAACTCTGCCCCCAAGGAGAAACAAGTTCAGGCAGAGGAGAAAGAAGCACTTTATGCCTACACCTGCCCTGGGAGGTCTGTATCATTGTGGCTCTTTTTGTAGCCAAGGAAACAGGAGCCAGCTGGGCCTGGAGCAACACTCTGGCCTTTTATTATTGAAATCACTCTGTTGGAGTTTTTCCAGCCTGGGAGAGACTCTTGAAGGCAGACAGTTTGGGGCTGGTGTGGACCCTTCTTTTCTTATTGAAGGCAAAGCAACTCAGTCTCCAAAGTGCACCTGGACCTCCTGGGGTTCTTGGGAAATGCAGATTCTGACTCAGTGGGTCTGGAGTAAGGTCTGAAACTCTGCATTTCTAACGGGCTTCCAGGTTGATGTCAATGGTAAGACCACACTTTAAACGGCAAGGTTATAGCAAGGCAGGCTTGTGCTGAGTTCGTACTGAGCTTCACAGCTCCTTACTTCAGCATCCCTGCAATAATCCTTTTGACCTGATAAGAAATAGTAACTCTCTACTCTCTAAAAATCACAAGCAGGGGTAATGTCAGTTGTGTAGGGCCTGATGCTTGTATAATCTTAGTGACCCTTTTTAGGGAGGAAAAAAGACAAAAACATATTTGTTTTGCAAATTTTACAAAATATAACACATGTGAACAGAGTGAATTCCTTTCATTTGACCTCAGGCCAAACAGGTACTCACGTATTCCTTGTGGGAAGACCGTGTTTGGCTTCTCAATGGTCAGCGACTGCCACTTCTGAGAGATCACCACCAGGTGGCAGTAGACTTACACAGTCCCCTTCAACCCTCCTCCCCTGGGGACTCCTCAGAAATTTCTAAATCTTCCTCCAGCTGGCCCAGCTAGCTAATCCTACAAATTAATCTGTGCTGTGATAATGGGAAAAAGGAGTTCATGTGCTTCTCTCTCGGCACCATATTTGCCATTTAATGGAAATGGTAAGAGATTGGTTTTTAAACCACATAAAAAATGCTAATAGATGAGTTCAAGGCATACTGTAGGATCGTGTATCACTATGGAGATGTTTTTAAGACCTTTCTGTGCACTACAAATTGCATCTATGCACGGGTTCTAGGTCTTACCACCTGTTCTTCCAGCCCTAAACAGAGTTCAGTGTTTAGGCACCTCTTCTAGAATTCAGCTACCATGGTTCAAACCCAGGTGCTACCTGGATTTGTTGAGTAAGGACCTTAACATTTCTGTGGCTCAGTTTCCTGATCTGTGAGATGGGAGTAATAATACTTATTTTATGTAACAGTTGTGGAGACTAGTTAAAATAACATTTAAAGTACCCCAGAAAATTGGCTAGCACACGGCAAGCACTCCTTCCTAATCAGCTATCCTCACCATCCCACACCTTGGCTACCTTCTGCCTCCTGCAAGCGAAGTTCTTTCTGGAGTGGGGCCCGATTACATGCATTTCTCACAGGCTCCGGGTGACGTCAGTACTGCTGGTCCACAGAGCACACTTGGAGCAGCGAGGGTTTAGAGGGTGGAACACAGGTTTAGGGGTCGGGGCATGGGCAGCCCTGGGCCCTTTTCTCTGGCTTCACACCTTGCTAGCTCTGGGATGCTGGTTAAGTGATTTAACCTTTCTGAACTGTCATTACATCATCTGTAAAGCGGCCATTTATCGGGCAAGATTCATTGGGCTACCATGAAACACCTAACAGGCTGCTTCCTGTGCTGGTCCTCAAACTTGATTGTGAACTTGAATTACTGGAGTTTTAAAAGAACCATGGTTGTTGATTTTATTGGTCTGGGGTACTGAGCAGAAGGATTTTTTTTTTTTAAGCTACTCAGGTAATTCTATTTGCAGCCAGTACTATAGGTACTGGCCTGTGAAATGTTGTGTACATCTGACCACAGGTTGCCGGGCTGCACTCCCAGAGTTGCTGATTCAGTAGGACTGGGGTGGGGCCGAGAACTGTCATTTCGAATAAGGTCCCAGCACTGGTGCTTTGTCCCAGGATTACACTGGTCCCAGCTATCAGTAAAGAATGTACAGAACTGGGGTTAGAGGATAATCTTGGGTTGCCCAGGTCCAAACAGCACGTCTGGAGCATCACCAGCTGTCCCAGGTACACCGATTTACAAGCCCACCTCAAGCTACCTGAGGGTGTGGAGAGAGCCTCTTTGTAGGAAGGGCAGGAGGAACCTGCAGGGTTTGTCCTGAAGGAGAGGGTCAGGCCACTAAGCTCAAAATGGCATGAGGGCGAAGAATGGTGGCCTTGGCCTAGGTGACCTGGGGCCCAGAAACAAGATGCGCAGGTGGAAGCCACAAGGAGGCCTTTGGGCTCAACACAGGAAGAACTTAACGTTGAGAACTGCCCTGTCTGGAAAGGGCACCAGCTTCTTCCTTGGCAGTGAGTTCCCTGGCGTGGGAGGTAGTCCAGCTGAGCTGGGGAGTGGGGGGAAACTAGATATTTGAACTGCAAGATGTCTGTGGGCCCTTTGAAGTCTGAGACTGAACATCCCTCCAGCCTCCAGTCCGGCCTTTTCTCCAGCTTTCTGTTTATTTAAGGAGGTGACAAGCTGCAGCTTTGCCAGAGGCTGGCTTTCCTGGCGGTGTTTCCTTTGCCTATCAGCAAGCGGCTTGCTTTCCCAGGGTAAACAGGAAGGCCACCTCGCGCAAGGCCAGCGGTCGGCAAGGTGGCAGCAGGTGCCACCTCGTGAGTGCACTGCTGAGGTCAGAGCCCGTGGGGCCTGACAGACGCTGCGGGTTAATGGGGCCCGAGGCAGGTGGCCCTCGGGGCTCCAGGGCCAAACCCCGCGCGGAGCCGAGCCGAGCGGGGCGGGGGAGAAGAGAGAGGGTTCAGCCCACGCCGCCGGCCACATCAGAGCACCAAGAGAACACCGAGTCTTTATTACAGGAATTCCTATGAAACAGCCCCAAGAGAAAACCCACACATAGGAAAAAAAGAAAAAAAAAACCCCAAACACTAACAAAGCAACACACACAAACGGGGGGCTGCAGCCTCCCCGCGGTGCGCCAGGTTCTAGCGCGCAGCGGCCAGGCCCACAGCCCGGGGCCCCCACTCAGCCCCTCGGGGTCACACCGGCCGGAGCTCGGGCTGCAGG